TTCGTCGCATGACGAGTCAATGAACTCGCTACCGACGCCGCTCAGGTAGGTCGCTCAGGCAGCGCCGCATGTCACGCCTGACGTTACTAACCCGCCTCTGGTATTTGCAGTCCGACGCATTCGATTGCTTCCACCTCGTTCGATGAACATCACAATAATTCGATCGATGCGATGCGTTTCCAGACACAGCAACAACAACAACAGCTACAACAACCACCACAACAACAGCAGCCACAACAACAAATGGTTGGCGGCAATGCTGCATTGGGAGGAATGGGTATGGGGGTAAGCGCTGATTTAGGTGTTGGCGCGCCAGTAGGTATGCTGCCAGATGCAAATGCAGCGGCTGACACCACACCACCAGCACTAAATAACATCCACGGCACACATTTGACTAACAACGATTACACGGCAACGGATGCCTGCGCAGATGGCGCTCAGTCAGCGCCGGTCTTACATTCAATGCCCAGCGCCGACTTGCCGCTTGCGGTGCCAATTTACAACAGCGTAGCACCCGATACAAGCATTCAAAGCTTTGTAACAACTCAATCACAGCTGCCACAGTCTTTACCCGATAGTGGCACGTTATTTCCTCACTTGACGCCAACCCTACCAACAGTAAGTACCGCGACTGGTGGTATAGGCAATATGAGTGCCACTAACTACCTGCAACTAACGCTCAGTCAGCACCATCAGCTTGCCCAGCTGCAGATGAATAGCAATGGCATAATGCAGCTACCTCCGCTACCGCCGCTGCCGTCTTACAACACAGCCGCTCAGTCGCCGTTGCCACCGCCATCGCTGCTGCCGCCCACTAGCGCCATTAGCACTTCGCCACAACCCTCTGCATTGCTACCGCTCATAATGCCGCCAACTTCCATTACAGCGCTAAGCCAGCAGCAACAACAACAGCTGCAGCAGCCACAACTATCGCCGCTAATGCAGTCATCGATTATGTCGCCGCAGCAAAGCAGTAACCATGCACCCACAGCTGCCATGCAGTCGCCACGTGCCAGCACACCTACTTTGCACTCGCCGCAAACGATGGGCTCCTACTCGCAGTCACAGTCGCCGGCAGCGCATCAGTTTGGTGCGCTCTCGCCAATGAGTCAATATGGCACGCCTCAGCCATTGGCGCCGCCGCCCTTGAACATACACGCCGTTCAAGAGGCGAAGGAGAAGCTGAAGCAAGAGAAAAAGGAGAAGCATGCAACGAAGAAGCTCATAAAAGAGTTGGCTATCTGCAAGACATTGCTAGGGGAAATGGAGGTAAGCAAGCGTGGTGGGGTAGAAAAGTTGTGAGAGGAGTTTTTGTTTTTTTTTTAATTTTCTCATCTCTTACAGCTGCACGAAGATTCGTGGCCATTTTTATTGCCAGTAAATACTAAACAGTTTCCGACTTACCGTAAGATTATTAAAAATCCCATGGATTTGTCAACAATCAAGAAACGTATACAGGACTTAACGTGAGTAATATTACCTTTTGCATTTTTTTTTTGTAAGTGGAAATCCTTCCACTTTGTTAGGGTAAAAGAGAGTTAATGAGCTAAGAGTGTTTAGTAAAGAAACAGGCACGATATTACCATAAAATACTAAGATAAATCCGAGTCTAAATGCAAATCGAAAGTCACGAACACGTTCCATTTTGACTGTCGGGTCTATGCTATAGGATCCAGATTTATTTCTACCAAAGGATTGTTCCTTCAGCAGCATTACAAAGAACCTTTTTTTGGGAATTTTTATGCTGGAGACGAACCCGAGAAAGTTCGCTATTTTAGCCGACAGTTCACACTGCATGCTTCGTCGGTTTATATGTTTAAAGGTCGAGTGACGAGAAAGCAGTAGCACCTCCCAAAATCCTAGTGTGCCTCTTACTTTCACTAGCCAGGAAGTTCAAGTGGCCACTGGAAAGCTAAAAGTCTTGAAAACAATTGGCCCTGACGGACTATGTTCGGTGGGATTTGCATACTTCACAATGTCTCTCAATTTATCGTCGTACCCGACAAAGGAAAAGCGTTAGCTGCCTCGATAGCTCCGCGTAACTCTGGCGCAAACAAGTTCTGAATACTGAAGTAGGTTAAAGACCTGATCTGGGCCTGGCGTTGGTCGCTCTTGACGACATCTCTCTCTCTCTCTCTCGACAATGCTTAATAAGCCACTGTTTATTAAAATCTCTTCTCTCTTTATTTTCACAGCTATAAAAGTCGTGAAGACTTTTGCGTCGATGTGCGCCAAATATTCGATAATTGTGAAATGTTCAATGAGGATGATTCGCCGGTCGGCAAAGCGGGTCATGGAATGCGCAAATTTTTCGAATTACGCTGGACTGAGTTGACTGATAAGCACTCATGATATCAAATGCATCACCACCTCAAGTATTCTAGTGATTAAGAGAAGCAAAAAAAAAAAAAAAACAGAAATAAAAGCAAAATGGGAAGCAGAACCAATTAATTAAATAGAAATAAAAATAAAATGTTGCAACAGTGAAATTCCAATTTAGTTGAGAAAAAGGAGATTAAGAAAACAGGAAAATGGAGAAAGCAAGCAAAAACAAAAAAAAAAAAAAATCAGTCATTTTTAAATATTCAGCAAAAATTATTGCAAATTAGAGTTCTTATTAGAAAAAAAGTCAAAAGTTTTAAGCAAAAAAAAAATAATAATAAAGAAATAAGACATTTTCGGCACTCCCAAAAACCTAAAGAAAAAAAATATAACTCTGGCTAAGCACACATACATATTATTGTCTAGAAGCATGAAGTGAAAAATCGAAGACATTGCAGGCATTGCAGTCCGAGTCACAACACAATAATGAAGCAGATGCTAAAGAAAACAACTATCAGTAATGTGGTATTTATAAATATATACAACCTTACATACATACATATACTTATACATACATACATAGTTGATTAGGTAAGCAAAGTTGATAATAACTAATGTATTATTTTCAAAAATGCAAAAAGAAAAAAATTGTAACGAAATATATCAGCAATCATGTAAAAGGCTAAAAATAATTGCATAAATTTGCGCAGAGATGTGTAAAACATAAAACTTAATGCAAAGAGAGAAAAAAATCATAATAATGAAACAAAAAAGTATTTTAAATTTTCTTGTAGGCAAATGCTAGTGTAGATAGTTGTGGCAGTGTGGGCCAAAAGTGTAAGAAATATTTTTTTTTTAATTATTGAGTTTTTAACCACGAAAATGTGTTGTTAAACGAGTACTGTTAAGTATGTTGAGCTTGAGCTTACTTTTGAAATTAATTTTTATTAAAAGAAAAAGTTATTTATTATATTGAGGCAACTGCGCTTTGAATAGTCGGATTTTCAACTTTGCTATAGAACATATTTGCCGATGTTATTTATTTTTTTTTTTTTTTTGTAGCAGAGGGTTCAAACCTTTGTCTTCTCGTATTAATTCCATTAGTCGCTTTTCTCCTCATTTTTTCTAAATAACATACTCAAATTTGGGATCCACACTGTATGTAGTTTGTAAAATGTATACTTATAATTTTCTTACCACTCAGTTATTTGTTTGAAAATACGCCAAACCGTGATGGAAAACTCGGTGCATACGCTCACACATAATCGCGCACACAAGCTTTGGCACAAACAACAGCTGTTTAGGTTTTGAAAATCAACTACCAGCATAAATGCTCCAAATGTATTGCATACTTTTCAATAGTTTAGAATAGTTTGTACTTCTAAATGCCAATAAGTTAATAGTCTGGCTTACACATACATACATAATATCACCAACACACCCATGCTATCACAAACACACAAATGCTGCTCACAAACGCGCCGCTCGAGAGAGCAGATCGATTTGTGGGCAAACAAAAATATTGTATATAGAAAAAAATCAATTTTAATAATTATGAAAAATTAAGCTTGTATTGAACTTAAAGAAATGCACTCATATACACATTCATGCATACATACATACATATAAGTACATATAAATTGCATGTATACAATATACACCCAACGAAATGATAAATTATAGTTGCGTGAAAACCATACATACATACATACATAAATATCTAATATACATATATATATATATATATATACTTATATACATACGTATTAAAAGCAAATCGTTTTAGTTGACATTAGTAGCGAATAACTTTAAGCGAATATGATGAAAAGCAAAAAAATTTCAAAAAAAAACCTTATATTAATAATAATAAGTAAATATTTAACATTAATAAAGTGAAAAATTGTAGAAACGAAATTTAATTTAATTAAAAACTAAAAGTATTTTCCAACTGCGCAACTGCACTGAATAATATGAAATGGCAAAAAAGTGAACAAATAGATTAAAGATTATTTAACCAATTATAAAAACACAAAACACTACATTTGATGAGTATTTTTTAAAGTTAATATTAAATTTAATTATTTTACGATAACAAGGTATATATTTTAGTGCAACTTTGACACGGACAAGGAAACTGGCACTGTTAGGGCAAACAAAGACAAAAAAACCCAAACAAAATATATGTAAAAATTAATTAAAAATCGTAAAACATGCTAGGAAAACAAGATAACGCAAGAGCGTACAAAGGCGTAGACACACTTTTGCGCTACGTCTCGCCCACTATCGCCACAGATTCCAACACCACTTGCTTGCTACTCCCTAATCTCGAACACCTTACCCAGCAACCAGAGTCCTACCAAAAGATAACACAAAACTGAAAGCAACTCAATTTGCTTGGAAAAATAGCGCAAAAATCAACACAAATTTCAATTATGACACGTACACACACACACACACCAACTACAGTATTTTAATGAATTTCTTTAGATTTTTTATTAATTTTTTTTTGTATCTAAATATTTTATCATTTTATATGTACTATGTATACATTTTAATGCTTTTATTTGAAAACTAAACTAATGACAGTAATTTAAGTGAAATTAAAATAAAAAGATGAAAGATAAAGGTAAATAACGTATCTACATAAATGAAATGAGATCAATACTTACTCATTAATTCTTACTTGTAGCGCAACGTTTTTGTTTCATAGCACACGAATGCATCATCAAGACTGTGCTGCTACAAACATACTTACTTCATATACATACATATTTGTAGTGTACAGTGCGCGCAAATTGCAAATGAATACATATGAAAATGGTAAAAGAAAAAACAAATTTGTGAATTTTAGTTTTTAGCTCTAATATTTTCAATGTTTATTATATGTATACATACATACATATATTATGTAGAGAGTGACCAGCAAAGCAAAATAACAGTAAATAAGAAAAAAATGAACACAAATGAGCGTAATTGTATTTGTATGTATGTTATAATACTAATTTTGTACTTAGTTTTGTAATTTTTTTCACTAAGTATTAGTTAAGTTGCAATCCTAATTTGTGTAAGTTCATAAGTAATTATAATATAATTAAGATATAAAATAAATTAATTGAAATATACATAAAAAAAAAAATGGTTGGATGAGATGTGTTTGCTTTTTTCACAGAAACTTCCAAACAATTTGGTGAAGGCTGCTCGATTGATAGTGAGCTATGGTATTTTTTTTTAAATAAGGAACATTAAATAAACAAAAGAAAAATGGCCAACTGTAAAAAATAAAAAATAATATCGCGTTACTATTTATTTTCCCGCCACCGTATATACAGTGGCCCAAACAAGTGACCACGTGTTGATTTTTTTTAAATATTCATAATGTTTTTCTCTCTCTAAGCTTTAACCAAAAACATATACATAAATCACAGTTTCAAAATTTCAACTTTGAAACTGAATCTGTGGAACACTTTTGGGTATGATTCTACAAATAATGAAGTTTGACTATTTGTCAAAAATTTGCGCCTTAAACTATGCCGCTATGATTTATATATAGCCTCATTGCGTAAGTCGTAAAATAAGCTGAATTGTACGACTCGACAACATTAGCATTGTCTACTGTGGTGCTGAAATAAGTAAACGACGAAAATTGTCGAAAACTATGCAGTGCTGCCAAGTTCTTCCGTTTTAATACAGTAGTCGAGTGGAAATTTTAGGCAATGACGCTAAATTTTCGATACGATTCGACTCGAATAACGACTTGCATTCGGCACGACTCTCGCAATGAGGCTGAAAGTTTTGAATAAAGCTTGCACGATATGCCGAATTTCCACTAGGCATTGAAATGACAACAAATGTCTGCCATTTAAAAAAATGCCATGTGGAAATGATCTTAATGATTATTTTTTTAATGTAATGACACGATTATTTTTTAATGACCGACTTTGTCATTTGTCATTTTTGCCATTTAATGCCTAGTGGAAATCCAGCAATACTTTTGTAGAAAAATAACAAAAAAATTTTGCTTGAACCCCGTTACGAATATTGAAGAAAAATCATCATGTGATCATATGTTTCAGTCACTGTACATACATACATGATCGCTCCTCAAAACTTATAACTAGTTGTCAGGAAGGAGTGTTCTCTTCGCAACAGGTCTAGGTAAAGTATTGAGCACAAATCGAGGATTGCTGCGTTAGCCCCGCCGTAATCTCGTTGTAGATGTTGAAAAAAGTAGATTTGCCGGAAGTCAAATACCTCTTCGTAGCGGAAAAAAGGTCTGGCTATCCTCCTTGATTATCTTCTAGATCAGTGATGCTCAGGGAGAGCTTTTACTATATGCGCGACCATATAAAATCTACAGAGTGCTGTTTTGAGCACCACTGCTCAGGATGTTGGCAGTGGGTACGATCGCCTCTCTTCTGCAATAAAGTAGGAAGGCGGATCTTGTCAACTCAGACGACTCGTCACATTCTCGAAAACTTAAACCCCAATATCGATTCTTGGAGAATCGTATAGGATAATCTCGCTCCTATATTTTGTGGAAAAGATCAGCATGGACATATAATTGAGACGCTGAGCCATCGTCGTCCAAGCGAGAGGACGGTTTTCCTTTATTGCGTCGCTCTTCCAAGACATCTTTTACTCGCCCCTTCGAGATTGGAAGAAGAGGTGGATCATTCGATAATCTGTGCGGACGCCTGTTGGCTTTCGAATTTCGCAACGCTTTAAATCGCCGACACAAAAAGGCACTTCCCCGATTGGGAGCACGACGGTAAGCCGTACCTAGACGGTTTTTTGCAACAACGCAACATAGTGCGAGCAAGCTCAGCATATACTCAAGAATGATAGAATACAAGATTGCGGCAATCAGAGAGGATTTTTGAGAATATAGTAGCTAACCTGCGATGAAAATGACCAGGCGGCGATTTTGGTACGTTATTACACGTCTCTGAAACTGTGAGCGAGGCCATGGGGAAACTATGGGTTGCTGGACATGTAGAGATCGGCGCAACCTTTGTATTCTCTCAATCGTGGCATATACTGAGACTACATAAAAATCCGCAATATTTTTCATTTAATTCCTTTCCCCTAAAATGGGGTTTGTGTTATTTTTTGCTTTACACTTTGTGTAGCTACATATTAAAACAGTGAATTGGGATTATTACAGCTCATTCTTTTCGTCAAAAGCCGTGATCTCCTTGCAGGGTGTTGACTGTAATGTCGCTCCAAGAATAACACAATTCCGTACAGGGTGTCAAATTATGCACAACACAGGGCGTTAAGCATGAGTAGGTATTCTAAAATTATAAACTTTACATTTCTTGGTGTTCGGTACAAACACACAATCTGTGAATACCACATAGGTACAAAATGCATATAGCAAAGACATATACCAGATTAATTTTGCTACTTTTTGAAAGGTGGCCGCGTAGGTGTGTGACCACAAATTGTCTCAGCTAGTAAAAAAATAAGAAATTGTTAAGCCTGCAGGGTGAGAACGATGATTCCATTCCGTTGGTTTTCTTGCATGATGCATTTCCGAACAGCTTCTTTTACCATTTACGCAACAATCAAGGGTTTTTACGTATTAATAAAAATTTGTTTTTCATGTTTTTGCAACAATTGCAATTGTTCCTCGATTTTTACGAAACTAAGTAGAAATAACAGAGCGTAGTAAAAAAATAAATTAAATAAAATTAAGCAAAGCTATTAAATTCCTTTTTGGTTGTTGTTGTTTCCGACAGGGTGGGTGTATGATGTATTATGGAACGAATTTCCGTCATCCCTTGTCAAATTTGGTTTGGAGACAAACCGGTTTCGGCGTTGTGCCATCTTCAGTGTCATTTTTCGTTCCTAAATTCCCTAATACCTCTTTACTCTACTTATTTTTTGGTGCTAAAACCATTTTTCGTCTTCTCCAGTTGAGCACAAGATGTACTCGGGCGTCACAACGGTTTTAGACAAATCCTAGAATACCGGAGCGATTTGTCGTTTGCGCCAACTATCGCAGGCTAAAAGCCTGATTATGGCAACTTAACTTAACTTAACGGAATGTAGAGCTTAGAAAATAAAAATGAAACAGATTTTGACACCTATAGTGTTTGTGTTTGACACCTATCAAAAGCAGAAAACCTCCTTAATTTTTACGAAAAAAAGTGAATTTCGTGTGATGATTAAGTTTTATTTTTTGCGTAAAAACTACATTGCTGAAAGCAAGAAAAGGCTTGATAAATACTATGGGAATTCTGCACCGTCAATTTCAATGATTAAAAGGTGGCTTACTGAGCTCCGTTGCGGTCGATCCGTTACACGTGAGTCCGAGCGATCAGGTCGGCCAAAATAAGTCGTCACGCCAGACATCGTATATAAAATATATACATGGAATAATATTGGACGATCAGAGAATGAAATAGCGTGAGGTGGCTGAGGCTATAGGTCTGTCAACTGAGTAGGTGCACCAAATACTTTACTTGAATATTGGGATATGAAAAAGCTATCCGCGCGATGGGTACCGCGCATGCTCACACTCGACCATAAACGCAACCGTGTGATTGCTTCAAAGGAGTCTTTGGCGTTGTTCAGGCGCAATCTGAACGAGTTTTTGCACCGTTTAGGAACCGTTGACGATGTATGGATCCACCACAACACACCAGAGACCAAGAAAGAATTAAGTAGTGCACCAAAGAAGGCCAAAGTGGGCCTGTAAACCAATAAGGTCGTGGTCACAGTTTTTTGAGTTGCACGCGGTCACATTCACATCGATCACCTTGAAAAAGGCAAAACAGCCATATTACATACATATTTACTACTAGGATCGGAGTTTCTCGTGGCGGTCTGCTGGTAGACTGTGATGCCGTTTCAGAACAAAAGAATCTGTTCATGGTTTGGTTTTTTTTTTGGATACGAGATCAGCAGAAAAATTTTTAGCTACCTTTTAATGAATAACAATCATACGAGGCAATCATTTGCGACAGCTATAACAACAACACCAAAAATAACTGTTATTATTATTTTCGATTCATTCCATTTTGGGGCGTTTTTGGTTTTCGAAAGCGCTACGAAAACTCACCGCAACTGTCAACACAACAGATAATGAAAGATGACAAGCAAGCAATCGGACAGACAGGCACAGTCAGTAGCATACAATTTGCATTTCCGAAACTGCATATGGACTGCATGTATGTATGTATGTTAGGGTGGGTCA